CCCCCCATTATCTAGTTTAAAAGCTCCTCCAGTCTTTTAACTATTTTTTCCCCCCAAAAGTGCTGCACCTTCCCCATTAAGATGCAGTCCGTCTCGGCTGTAGAGCTGGTAACCGACTGAGAAGTCAGCCCAGTTCTCCAGGAAACCAAATCCCTCATTCCGACACCAGTGCCGGAGCCACTTGTCAAGTTCCCTCAACTCTCGCTGTCTGTCTGGAGTGGCTCCGGCAGTATCTCAGAGAATACTACCGTTGAGGTCCTTTTCTTCAACCTAGCACCTAAGTCCCAGAACTTGCTTTTTAGGACACTCCATTTGTCTCCTATTTTGTCATTGGTACCGAAGTGCACTATGACAGCTGGGTTATGCCCAACCCCATCCAGTAATCTGTCCATTTTTTCCGCAATGTGTCAAACACGAGCCCCCGGTAAGCAACAAACTGTTCGACGCTCACGGTCCCGATGACAGATCACCCTGTCTGTCCGTCTGATGATGGAATCCCCCACCAGAATCTACCTTTCCTGGCCCTCCATCCTGCTCCCATTCTTACTGGAGCAGTCACCCCCTGTGGATAGAGGAGGCTTCCTGCTCCAGCAATGCCTCCCCTGAACCAATGTCCCCAACATTCTGCAACCTTGCATATTTGTTAGGGTGAATCAGTTCAGGGCTGACCTCTCTCACACTCTTCCCCCTACCCCTCCTAACGGTAACCCAACTACCCACCTCAGGATCCTGCTCCGCCAAACTCCCCTCCTCATCTAGGCCACCCTCCACCACAGCCTGGTGCGTCAAGTCCAGACTCCTTTCCATGTTGGTTATGCTCTTTAGTGTTGCCAGTTTGTTGCTTAGATCCAGAATCTGGGCTTCCAAAAAAACAACTAGCTCACATCTGTCGCAACAGTATTCACTAGGGTTGCACAGATACCAAGTACAGTACTCGATACAAGTACGAGTACACGTACCGATACTTTTGAGCTTCAAGACTAGACTAGAGAAAAATTCAAAAATTAGGAGGCCACTGTCATTTGTAAGGAGCACGCGGAGCTCCTGGGATTTGTACATCTCTGTTTTAATGTACGATTTTGTTTTTATAAATATAAATAAAGGGATGCACAGATACCAGTTTTGCGAGTACGAGTACTGGTACTTGCTGAGTACTTACAAGTACGAGTACTGATACATTTTTGTTTATTGTCATGTGAGTTTTTCTAAAACAATGCAGACTAATGATTTCAGGACAGTGGTGGAGTGCCAGAGCCAGGTCCCAGCTGCAACCACTGCAACCCTGGTAGTTCTCATGAAAATGCCAAGTATCTGCACTGGTACTCGAAAAGTATCTGTGCATCCCTAGTATTCACCCTCGAACGCATGTTTAAGAAGCGCATACATTGCACATGATGTGCACTGGGTTGCATACCCACTCATGGAAGTCATTTTTTAATAATAATTTAGAAATCACTTTACGCTCAGTTGTACTTAAGCGGCTATTACACTGACCCAGCAGTTTTTACACTAGTATCTGTGAGATATTAGACTACTACCCGGGTAATATTAGACTACTGCCCAAGGTCTACCCTAATGCCCAGGAGATCTCACACTACTGCCCAGGAGTTATTATACTATTTATTCTTTATCTATTGTTTAATTCTTATCTGATCTCAGAGTGTATTAATTTACCCCAACTACCACCCCCAATGCAGGTTACTCAGTTAGTGTACTACTACGTTACCCCAGTGACAGACAGACAAAAAGTACTTCAGCTAGGTAGCCTGTCCCCTTTTCAAAACACAAACTCAGTCCCAACTCAGCTTTTGTTCAGCCTGCCCCTGCAATGCCAATCCACCTTCTGCTCACACAGATTACACTTATATTATATATCAGTGAGGCTTTGTACTATATTCAAATTAGCTCAATTCAATGCAAACACTTTAACAATTTTTTTTAAGCTCACCACTCACTCTCTGCCGCTGCGTCCTCCAGCCACATGCATGTGTTATCACGCCCCCCTTCACTCAGCAGCCAGACCTTGTCACAGCCCAATCAATCAGCTCCCCACTCGCTCCTGTTACTGTCAGTTCAGCCGCTCTTTACTGGAGTCGCTCTCACTTTCTCTCTCTACTCCTTCTGACGTTCAAGCAGTCACTCCGATCTGATACCCGTTCAGCTAGTATTTCAGGTTTGCAGTCTTTTGAGAACATAGATTAAAATTCTGCCACCTGACATAAGTAGGCTACTGGCAACTGAGATTGAAGTAATCAATCATAGTAACATAGTATTTGAGGTTGAATAAAGACGTAAGTCCATCAAGTCCAACCTATTGCGTGTGTGCATTTATGTTTGAGCAGGTGTGTGCATGTGTATGAGTCCATGTATGGCGTGAAGCACTCGCTATTCCCTGAAAAGGCACCATTCCTTGTGCAAGTGCTGCTCCCTCCTGAGGGGAATTTATCAAAATTGGACCAGACAAGAGTCTGGAGCAGTTGCTCCAGATTCTGATAAATTCCCCACCTATGTATTCGCCCCTTCTTTAAAAATGGAACTCTAACCTAATGACAAGTTTTTTTTTTCTTTGGGTAGAATGGGAAAAAAAAAAAAGGTTAAAACATCTGTCAAGTTTTTATTGTTGTCTGTATACTTCTCCCAATTTTGTTATCCTTGTGGGTTTTATGCATTCCGTAACAACCAACCCAAAAAAACGTTTGGCTGTAGATACTCTTTAATGTAGTTTAGGCAGCCATATTTGCTCGTTACATGTACACACTGTGGGGGGAGGGGGCAGCCCATGGCAACCAGATTCTATCTTTAGTCTGTCCAGTTAAGATTTGAAAATGAAAGCGAGAAGCTAATTGGTTACCATGCACAGCTGCTCCAGATTTTGATAAATTCCCCTCACTATATTTATTTCAGGTGTCAAAAGAAAATACAAGCAGGCTTTTGATTTCCAGCTTTCAAAGTTTATTACTTCAAATATGTAAAAAAAGAAAACAAATACAAAAGAATATGAATGTGGTTTGCATTCCGCTTTTGATAACTGTAATATAAGGCCCCAGGATGCATTTAGAGCGGTGGTTCTCAACCTTTCTAGGGCCGGGACCCCTTGGTAACATTTGCCAAGTTGTCGTGACCCCCAACGGTAAAATTTAGGGATGACACGGCTGCTGCAGCGACATCTGGCGGCGTGGCCGGAGAACTGACACTGCTGCACTAGGAGAGGGCTGAGGAGGACTCTTACCTAGCACAGCAGAAATCACACAGCGACCCACAGGTTGAGAACCACTGCTATAGGCAAAGACAGCACCGGGCTCTGCAGCTGGAACTAGAAGAATTGGATTTAAAGTGTGTGGCTATATAACGTATGAGGTGCATACTCCGCAGTACTGTCACTGACAGCAGCCCATACGGTTCAGTGTAAACCGCGAGAGTTACCCGATAAGATATACTTACTTCCCTTTCTCCAGTCTGTACTCCTCCCTCCACACTCTACTATGCTGGAGGACCTTGCGGTGTGTCAGTCACGTGACCAGCTCCTGGGGAGGGCGGGGCCGGCTGTGCTATGTGTACGCCGTACGAATTTAAAAAAAAAATAAAACACCATAGGAATGCATAGTTAGATTCCTATTGGCTATTTCACTTTGCAATAGCCAAAAGCAAACTAGCTATTGCACCCGCCCTGTGCTGCTGTCAATCACTAGAAGGGGACCTGATGGAGAACTTCAGGTCCCCCTCTGCCGATTGGCAGCAGAAGGTGGGTGCAATAGCTAGTTTGCTATTGCAAAATGAAATAGCCAATAGGAATCTAGCTATGCATTCCTATGGTTGGTTTTTTTTCTGACTGACGGCGGCCTGCGGCCCCCGATGTCAGAAAAAAAACAGCAGAGAAAGGTTTACTCTGCTCGATCGACCCCTAGCAAATCGTCATTCGACCCCCCGACCAACAGGTTGAAAACCGTTGATTTAGAGGGTCTGCTGTAGTTCACAACAAGTATATAATTTGTATGCAAGCAGGCAATAGGAACTAGTAGGGGTTACTGCGGTAGGCATTTTTCTTCAGGACACATTATAAAGCACCTGCCTCCAATGCACCGCATTCATTTTGTGAGCTGTGCCAATATATTGCCTATTCATTCAAAACCCTAAAGACTACATTACAGAGTACATCATAGCACAATAGACTTAATTTATCAATGTGTCTAAGGAAAGAATAGCTTCAACTGGTGCTGCCCATAACAATCACTATATACTTTTCTTCCTCCCAGTTCAGGGCAGAAGAGTGAATGGAAGAATCTAATTACTCAGGCAAGCATAAGGAAATATTTACACCCGTCTTAGGGAATGAGTGATGAGTGCTCAAACTGCACATTTAATACATACCGAGATTCAATTACACAATAACTTAATGAAAACCCACACCCACCAAATGTTTAATTCGTAAAGACTCCATTCTCATATAATCTTAAAAATACAGATCTTGTTTTACCCGGATGTCTACACATTTTAGGGCATGCCATACATAAATATATGTGATGGCGGTATAAAACTCTTTTGGAAGGAAAAAGTTTTACATTGAAGGATCGCAGTCAGCTTAGAACAAATATTTAATGTGTTTTTTAAGTGCTTTTCTCAAACAAAGTAATGTTATATTTACAAAGCCGATCAATATGCCCGCAGAACTGCAAGATGAGTGCTTATTAAATCCAGAGGATAGGGATGATGATCATAAATCTGGTTCAACTTATAGCATGAGTCTAGGGAAAGTCCAGTCAGGGATTCTGGCAAATCAGTCCTCATCATCTGAGTCCGAATCATACTTCTGTCCTCGTATAGTTTTCTTCTCCAGCTTTGTGAACTGAGTGCCACTTTTTTTCTGACTTTGAAATGGGGGTTCCATTAGATTGCCACTAAAAAATAAATAAATCAATCTTAGGAGATATAAAGTTGTAAAGTAGTATAAGTATATTAAAGACATGTTTAGCAGAATAAGGGACAATTCAAATCTATAAGTTATCTATATGTTGCATGAACATGCAATATGTTGGGCAGCCCATTTATATAACTGAGAAGCCAACACACCCAATAT